AGGTTGCCTTTATGAATTATTTCTTAAAAGCACCTTTTCAATTGGATGGTTACTATGATTCAAATTGCACTCTGTGTAACTGAAGTTGAGAGAAAACTCTAAAGCAATTGAAGGACCCCTTTCTACGGGACGGTCATACTGTTGGTAGGACTCCGTAGTATTATTCCTTTTTCTCCCGCCCTCCCAGCAGCCAGAACACCCTTTTCATTTGGTCTGGGTGTCTGGGTGGGTGTGGAGGCAAGCGTATATTAATAATCTGCATTAAATTTTTGCCTACATTTTATTATGATTTTTCTTTTTATTATTTCTGTCTTTTCTTTTTTCCCTTTTTTTTACACTCAGTTGTCATTCGTCATTACTACTGGTCAGATTGTTCCTCCTGACTTTGCCGGCCAATCCCTCCGATCTCCCAGAGTTCACCATTGCCTTAGTAGTCGTACTGTAATTATATGGCCAGAAACACACTCAAACCTGCTCCGGCCCCAAGTCCTCTGTCACTAGAGCCACAGAATCACAGACTGGCGAAAGAAAAGGTATTGGGATACTGGGGAAAATTACAGAAAATGGCTTAATGGCCCAAGTCAGAGAAAATCCCAAACCAAACAAAATCAAAATCAGACCCGCGCAGAAGAAATTAAATCAAACAGAAACCCAGAGGGAAATCATCATCCATGTTCCATAATAATAATAATAGGCATGATCCATTCTTCTGCTAAGACTACGGAGTACTGTTGCTGTTGATAGTTAATTACCTACTCATTATTAACCTAAAAAGAAAAAAGAAAGAAAAAGGTAGAAAAAAAAAGAATAATAAAAATAACATAAGTTACTATGATACTATGACTATCATCTCAACATTGAACTCCAACATGACTCCGCTACGCCTTCTCAACTAAAACTCCATCCATCCATCCAGCCACTACGCTCTCTCTCTACCGCTCTACCGCTTTACGCCTACACCACTACTCCGTACTCCGTGCTCATACTACTAGTACTACTGCCCTTTGCCCCCATCCTTCTCTTCCTCTCTCTCCATCCCCCTTCCTCTTTCGCCTCTCCATCCTACGTCCTCTCAACTCTCTGTTCTTTTTCAGTTCTCGCTTGTGAAATTCCCTGTCTCATCTCTCTCATCTCCTCTTGTCATTTTCTCTCAACGAGCTTTTCACTAAGTGTCGTTGTCATCGTGGTCCGGGGCTTTTTCACTTTGGCGCGAGGGAAAGAAAATTAATTTTTCTCTTCCGATCCCCTACAATTTCCCCCGTCGTTCTGCTCCCCCAGCCTCTCCTGGCTCCACGAACCCTCTCTCCCTTACTCTTGTCTCCATCTACTATCAACGGTCCTTGAGGCACGTTCTGCGTCGTTGGGTAACCATCCGCTGTTTATTCTTCAAATCCAAAAAAAGCACCGTGTGCTTGTTGGGTGTCTGGTGTTGGACCAGTAGCTCTACTGTGAAAGCAACTACCGCGAGGGAATAACACAAATCTCGCCGCGCGAAAGGATCCGACAGTCAAGGAAGCCAAACACAAAACGCGCCCTTCGCGATCGCTGTTTTTCCTTGCTCCTTCTTTCGTGCTCTCTGTGGACCTTTCATCTTCTAATTTAGTTGGATTTCCTCTCCATGTCATTCAACTAAGAGAATCTCACCACGGCAAACACAGAGCTGCGGCTCGCTGAGCATCGCTCTCCCCAGGATCAGGGCCTGGCGGACGTGTAGACGGTTCGTATCTGGTCTCCTTACTCTATACTGGCACTATACCGCGTTTGCTTCGTTCTTCACATCGCTGGGGTGGCTTTACTGACCGTTACTTCTCCCTATAGCGTTTGATCGTCTACCCTCGCCGTCCTGGACTGGTCTTTTTTCTTTCTTCTCTCATAACCGCTATGCCGTCTTTCTTCACCGCTGGCCTCCAGGGCCTTCCTCCCACTCCTCCTCACGTCCTGCCTGGTGGCAGGATGGAAAATGAGCCTTTTTACATCGTCAACAACTCTGCCTTTCCGCCCCGCTATACGCAGAATGGTTGCGAATTCATCGAGCAGTACTCTCAATCCGCCCACTACTCAAAGCCGGCTCCGATGAACTTACACCCTGCATCCGCCCACCATATGCACAATGGCAGAGATTTGACCACTGCTCACCCCGCGTTGAACCAATCCTTTGGCCCCCTGCCCACCACAAACGTGCTGCCTCCGCTCCGTACCGGTCTACAATTGCCCCCGATGGAGAGTGCCATTCCACCGCAGTATCGCCGCCAAGATATGATGATGCAGCCCGAACAACAGCAACGCAAAGAGGAGAAGGCCACCGGAGGTGTAGCCGCCCATTTGGATTATGAGATGGAACAGATGTCCGACTTTGTGGCTGAGATGGCTCAGGGAATGTATGCTTTGTACATCACCAAGATCAACATAGCAGATATTGACTTCGCGCGAAGCGTCTACCCAGGAACATCGGTCCCTCCCCAGTTTCGGAAATACGTCTACCAGGTCCTTTCTTCGACCCGCCTTCCCAGCTCCACGATCCTCTTGGGTCTCTACTACTTGGCCAGCCGAATGCGTATGCTTTCCTCGGCTAAAGTGTACACCTCTGGCAGTGGACAGGTTTATCGCATGCTGACTGTTGCCCTACTCCTGGGAAGCAAGTTTCTGGACGACAACACCTTCCAGAACAAGTCATGGGCCGAAGTCAGCAATATCCCGGTCGGCGAATTGAACTCCATGGAACTGGAATGGCTCTTCGCATTTGAATGGAAGCTCCATGAGCGCATCCATGACCAGCAGGACGGCTTCGCATCGTGGCTCTCCCACTGGGAGACCTGGCGTGCAAAGGCTGTTGCTAGAGCCCAGGAGTCGCATCACACCCTTGCCCCCATTGATACTAATGTCTCGCGGGGCCACATGGTGTCCAAGCCTCTCTTGTCCCCCGAGGGACCGATTCCTCCGCAGTATCAGCGAAGCTCTCATTACGAGAACTCCTGGCTCAACCCCGCCGCGTCTGAGTACTCGCCTCCTTCTGCTCCCCATAGCGGCCCGAACACTCCCGACTACTACGCTGTCGGACCCTGGGTGTATGCCAACCCTCCGCCGCCATACACACGAACTTGGATTCCTCCGCCGCAGCAGTACATGCCTCAGTCCGCGCCTCGGTCGCAACCTCCGTCTTACCACCATACGCCGTCCTACGCGTTACCGTTTGCGCAAAGTGTGTGGACAGGACACGGTTCATCCTGCGGATGCTTGTACTGTGCCAAGCATGTCGAACACTACATGTGTGCGAATGCTTTCGGTCCAATGCAGGCTATGGTCGCCTAGATGGGTGGCCCTCGGTCTTTGCATTTTTCTCGCGTCGGCCCAACGCCTCTCTAGATTTCTCCGATCAATGACTTCTTGGTTTTCCTTTTTTCCATTCCTTTATTTTCCAACGATTTTTTCTGAATTTTCCAACCATTTTTTCTGATCCATTTTTGATGATACCGTCTCCATCTGCGATGACAACATGCCCTATTCCCATATTCAGTTACCGTTGTTTTGCATTTGTCGGAAAAGTACCTGTGCCCATCCACCGTCATTGTTCCATGTCGGAAAAGTGAAAAGCAACAAAAAAAAAGTTTTTCCCACGAGCGATATTGGAACAACTCTGTCCATCCCCATCTACGATACAGAGTTTTTCTGTGCATTTACGATACAGCATAATCTCTTCATCTCAGCTTGGCTTCATACTTTGTTTCGTCGCCTGTGAAGAGTGATTGCTCATCGTGTCGCATATTACTCCATTGATTCAATCATCTTCTGGTCTTTGGAGTAAGGCAGGTCACGACGATCATGACTTTTCTTGTCCATTTCTAATGGTTCCGTTTTATCCGCTTTTTTTTTTTTTCTTTCTCTTTTTTACCTCCTTATGCTTGTCGTTTTTTCTGGGCTTCAGCATTCCTCCTGGCGGTTGTCATCTATAGATCGCTTTCTTCCTTTCCATTGGTTCGGTACATTTGTTTCTTTTCCATCGCCGGCTACACTCGTTGTTACGAGTAATGGCGTTAATATTTATGCATTCTGGATTTGACCCCATTCTACTCCTGCATTTGTCCGTCTCGGTTGAGGAACATATTCTGTTTTCTTGTGCTTGATCAGACCCACCGGGATACAGTTCGATTCCGCAGCATGTGCTGACTGCCCTCTTACGGATCGAGGACCTGGTGGTTGTAGTCTATCTTCGCTACTTCTTTTCGACGAATTGTTTTCAATGCTCCCTGTTTTACATACTCATGTTCAAATGTCGTCGATCAGACATGAAAAAAAGCGATACTCCCCTTTCAAGTCCCGTCTGATCTGGTTTTTTTTTTGTCCCCTCTCTCGTTCACAGCGAAGTGGCATGGTCTTGTTTCCTTTTCGACCTCACCATTTGCCCATTCAATGTAAGTTAGACAACCATATCTTTAAGACCTTTCGCACTGCGAAAGGTCCCCAAACAAAATTGAAACTGCGGAAAAAGAGACAAGACAATTGATTTCTTCTTTCCGGGACGAGAAGTATATATTCTCCCAACCCCCCTCTTCTTCACATATACTCGTTTCTGCAAGTGCTATAGATACTTTGTGTAAACCATCATCAGAGGATCTCGATTTCATGGAACGTGATGAACTCCATTGCGGACTGATCTTGAGATTGAGCTCTCAGGGGTACCTGCCTTTTCAGTCGCTGTATCTGCTGACGGATATGATATACTGGGTAAATCTACGCCTATATTCGCCAGACCACTAGGAGAATAGAACGAAATAGTAATGCGAGCGTTCCTTTCTATTTTCGCTCGATGAATTAACGCATCATTCTCATACTATGCTTCTTTTGAAGGTATCAACATGGAAACTATCGTGAGACATCATAATAGGGGGTTTGGTTAGATTAGGGGAGCGTAGACGGTCATACGAGAAACGTGCCTGAGCGTGTGCATGTGCAAAATGTGGAATAGGGAGATAACGATGGAGGGTGAATACATAAGGATTCGATCAGTAGACACTCCCTCTGATGCTCTGGTCACGCTGTCGTTCGGCCTCGAGCTCGGCGTCGGCGTCATCTCCGTCATCTGCGCCGTTGTTGTCGTCATGCACGCGTACGTAGGCCTGCTGGGATTCGTGCTCGAGGTGCGCTTGTTCGTTATGGTTTTCTTGTTGAGCGGGTGATTCGGCAGGGGTGTACGTAGTATCTTGCGACCGATCCGTGTCGATGTGTATTGCTCCCCTTTTGGAGTTGCCGTGATTCGCCGAGCTTGAGTGGTGAGTGTGGTTGTGGCGGTTATGGCTGTGCTTATGGTGTGAGCGCGTCCGTTTCGGTCGTTGGACCTGCTTGGTGTGGCTTTCGTCGTCGCCGTCGTCGGCGAAATCATGCGACGAGTTCGGCTTGTGTTGGTCGAGTCGGTCACCGGAGAAACCTGCGTCCTCGCGCTCGTCCTCGGACGGGGTGACGCTGTTTGCGCCACTCAGGGAACCGCCGCCGTCGCGGCCGCCGAGGTGGTGGAGAGCGTAGTTTGACCTTGGTGGGTGGAGGAGATGATCCTCGCTGTCGCGATGAAACTTGGCTAGGTCGGGCCGCCTGGGTATCGGGTTTGGGCTCGAAGCAGCCCTCGGATGAGGGCTGGGCCTTTTGGATGTTTGAGTATTGTGGTCGGTGTTGGCATCAAAGTCCGTAGGAAGGCTGGTGGGTTGCGAAGTAGCTTCAACGTCCCGTTTCGAGGGATCGTCAGAGGGGGCAATAGTCTGGTCCGTCGGTCTAATGTCTGAGGAACAGTCTCCCAGTGCTGGCTCGGGGGCCGTGATGTATTGCTGATCGACCTGTGTTCTCGCTATCAGCGTCATTCTCCTGTGACTCGACCGAGGGATAACTTACATTACTTCTCGTGGAGGGTTGCGCCTCACTCCCAACACGCGTCGGGTCATCGCCAGTCGTCCGTGAAGACCGTAAGGACCTTTTTCTGTGGAGGCCGTGGTTACAGCCGTCGGGACATCCGCCCCATTTGCGTCTGATCGGGAGAGGAGTGGGGGCAGGGGTGAGAGAAGTAGCCGAAATCAGGTCTTTGCTCGCTCGCTCCCGTTGTCTCTCGTTTTCCTTCTCTTTCCTCAGCTCGGACCATGTACGCAGCTTGTTCTGAAGGACGTATTTCCCATTGTCCGGGTTGAGCTTCATGATAACGAACTCGCAATGATTGATGTTGCGTAGATCTTCGAAATATTCAACACTCCAGTGATACCATTTCATCAGAAAGACCCTCGTCATGAGTCCATGGGTTACCAGTACGCAGACACTGGCAAAATCATTCTCCCCGAACAGTCGCCAAAGCGACTCGTTGAAGCCGCTGATTCGGTCATAGGCATCCGCAGCAGATTCACCATTCGGGATTCGATAGAAAAAATGTCCATAGTCCGCCCTTTCCAGCCACATCCGTTCCATCTCCGCAGAGCACGGCTGAAAATTGCCAAAGTCCTGCTCTCGCAACCGTGGTTCTTCATATACTTTGATGGTATGTCTGGGAAATGGCGACGGGGACGGAGAATCGGAGGTCAAAGACTCGAGGATCCCCTCTGTAGTCTCCCGAGTCCGACGGTAGGGAGAGGTAAAGAAGTGTATGGTGTCATCGGGCCGTAGAAGAGCACGCAGCTTGCTACCTGCCTCCTTTGCTTGTCGATGTCCTTCGGGTGTGAGCTGGACCCGATGATCAGGGATCGTTTGGTGGATTTCCCGATTTTTGTTTCCTTCTGACTGCGCATGGCGGATCAAGATGATCATCTATTGACTGAGTGAGACGCTGGGGTGTCAGACATAGAATGCGACTAAGGAAAAGCTAACCCGCGGTTTACCCATGGTTGACACAACATCGGTTGATGTTGGGAGGAGAGCGGAGAAAATAACAGTGCTGGAGTCAGGGCGCGGTCAGGCAATGACGGGTTATCGGATTATACACCCGCAAGTGGTCTTGTCTGTTAGCTCTTCTGTCTAGTCAGAGCAACTGTGATCTGTACAGTAGAACTCCAAAGAGCAGAAAGTGCTGATTCTGAGACGAGAGCGGCGGCAGTACCTGAGTATCCCTCAATTTGGCTAGTGTATCGGATGTGAGATGTTGAAGTTGCAAACAAGCCCTGGCCAGTGGGTGATATAGTAATATCTAGAGACCTCTATATTCATTGGAATAGGCTCTGTAATGGAGAGACAAAGATTGACCCAGACAGAACTGCCTTGGTTCCGTTAAGGCGTTGGAGGCGGATGGGATGGACTGGCGTAGGCGTCAAGGAGGAAATGCGGAGATGCGCTTGTTGCCGCAATGGCTGCCGTACCGCATCACCACTAGGTAAGAAGGTATTGGATCTCCCACCACCCACTGGTCAGCTGTACTTGGTTTCGTCAACTGCTCTCCTTTACAGAAGGGAACAGGCACGGTATTCACCATGACTGACTATCTTTACGACTTGTTGGCCCCTCATTTCTCTCTAACAGATGCTGCCTCAACACCGTTGGCTCCAGATAATGACACAACGACAGCTCAGTACTTAAACCGACTCTCAACGCTGTCCCTGGTGGCTTTGGAAACGACAGAACCCCAATCTCTGGCGCAATCCTCGCATTCTACCCTCCTGTCTCTCCAGGCCTTATCGAATCGCTCACACAAGGCCTTCATCACTTCTGCCGGTAACCTCTCGCAGCTCCGTATCTCGATTCCCCAATTGACCCGCAACGCACAAAATCTACGAGATACAATCCCCAAACTTGACGAAGAGGCGGTCCGATTTTCTACCAAGTACAGCCGAGCCGCAGAGAACCCGTCTCTGGAGCGGCGAAAGAAGGTCATGCAGCTGGCGAGGAATGTCGATCGACTTTCCGACATTCTAGAACTTCCCTCTCTTCTATCGACTGCTGTCTCATCGGCAGCAGCAAGCTCTGTTGCCGCGGGCGGCACCTCGTTTTCTACAACCTACTCGTCTGCTTTGGATTTATACGCCCACATCAAGCGATTACAGACACTGTACCCTGATTCTCCCCTCGTCAAGGATGTCGCCTCTCAGGCCGAGGATGCGATGAAGGAGATGACAACGAATCTGATAGCAGGTCTCCGTACGCAGAACCTTCGGTTGGCAGCGGCTATGAGAATGGTAGGCTGGTTACGTCGAGTGGCTCCGGAATTGGAGGGCTTGCACAGTGACGGCGGAACCGGCACCGGAGAAGGCGCGCTCGGTGCGTTGTTTCTGGTTTGCAGATTGGCAAATTTGGTTTCGACACTAGAGGCATTGGATCCCTTGCGAGAACTAGCAGACCAGGAGACCCAGCGCAGAACCCGGAATACAGATCAGAAGGAAGGGACGTCGAACTCGTCCTGGTCTCACGGCCACCAGACAGAAAAATTCTTGAAACGATACATTGAGATCTTTAGGGAGCAGAGCTTTGCAATTGTTTCCTTGTATAAGAACATCTTCGCCCCGGACCAAGCCGGGTCAGAGTCAGTTATTGCAGGACTGCGAGGGATAGATTCCCGTGTTAAAACGAGCTCGTCGCAGCCAACTCGCCTGGATGATCCCTTGCAATGCCTTCCACCAGCTTTGGCAACCTTTCCTATGCATCTCGTCCAGCTGCTGACTGACACATTACGCACCTATCTACCCAATGTCCAAGATAAGAGCTCGCGCGAAAGTCTCCTAACTCAAGTGTTATATTGCGCTGCTAGCTTGGGAAGACTGGGAGGGGACTTTAGCATGATCCTGACGGAGATGAGTACCGCGGTAGAGGAGCACGAGGAGAGTGCCGCCTATGAGTGGGAAGAGGTTACACGGAAGCACCGAGCCTTGGCAGGGCGGTTGGAACAACTCACCGGAACTGCCTCCAAAGGGACCCCGCAGGTGACTTCACCCCTTCATTGAACAACAGCCGCGAGATAAAGGTTACTAGCAGTAGGCTAGACTTTTGAGAGCCTCAACGAATGACTATCTTCCAGCCGATACTCACGATATCCATAGGAGATATCTGCCGCTGAGGGTCGACGGGTGATCGGCTGATGGGGCGTCCTCATCGGCGAAGGATTGGCCCCCGAGACTCTAAGCCTGTTCAGGTCTAGCTGCGGGCGCCTTTTGGCCTCCGCCCTCCAACGTTGTTTGGACCGCCGTCATCTTCCCTCCCCCCATCACACCCCAGTTCATCTCTTTTCATCTCATCTCATCTCGTTGCGTTTCAGCGCCTCAAAATCAAATGCCAGATTGTAGCTGACATGTCTAGCTGCTCTCTGCAGCATCTCTTATATACCTATATCCCCTCGCGCTTTCTCTGTTCCTATTCCTCTATGGTCAGATTTTCGTTGTACTTTCTCCCTCACCCTTCTTTGTCCTCCCCAGTGTGACGGGCTCCCTTGTGTGTAGTTGTCCCAATCTCTTTGTGCTCGACCACACAAAGAAATGAGACCTTCTTATACGGCATTTTGAAGAGCACGGGTTTTACATACATTACGCTCGACTTCCAGCGCACTTGTTCCCTCTCTCTCTAGGCCAGAGTCTTATCTCAAATGGCCGCCTCGGCTCTGTTTCCCTCGAGTGGATTAATTGATCCCACCAAAGACTACCCTATCATCTTGGGTGATCAATTGGCCGGAGGAGATACGAAACCGCAATCGAGATTAATCAACATTCAGTATAATTATAAAACGAAGTCCGCATCCTCGCAGCAACGCACCCATATCACCCGATCTGCACAATGTCCGGACCTGTATAACCTCACGATCACAGACAAGGCACCGAATGCCGATAATAGTGTTATAACATACTCATACAAAGGCAGCGTGGATCCAGAGCATGCTACGTCGGAGTCCCGCGAGCGGAATCTGGTATTGGTTTTCGATCCGGACCGTAAGGTCTTCGTTCTAGAGTCGATTGCGACGCAGTTGAACTTCAATCTTCGGTCGGCACCTAATAAGACTGAAAAGCAGGTGACGGAGCAGTATGCGCAGCTGCGAACATTGCATGATGATGACCAGGGTTCTGGTGACGACGGAGCAGTTGAAACAGCCGCTGACACCGACGACGGTCCCGCTGATGACAGCAATCCCTACGACTACCGTCACTTCCTGCCAAAAGAAAACGCTGACGATGACAAGTCTGTTTCGGACGGTGCAATGTCAGCTCATCTCAATGCCAGTAAAGCTAATACCCCTCTGATGACCGCGGCTGCCAAACCTACTCCAAGTCCCCAAGCTCGACCTAAGCCTCAAGCCAATCCTCTCCGTCGACAACCACGCCCGAGCAGACCTTCTAGAAACCAAACAAAAGCTGCTCCCAAGACGAATCTGGAGCCTCCAGCGCAAGTTGAGCGGGAAGAGCCTCAGGAGGAAGAGATAGAGGAGATCCCGGCTGGCGAAATGAAATCATCTCCTTCGGACACTGGAACCGAATTGGTATCGTCCTTCAAGGCGGCTCCGTCACCAGGCTCTAATATCATAATTGACGGAGATCTGATCATCGACATGGGATCGCCCCCTCCATCTCGTCCCGCTTTCAGGGTTAATCCAGCACACTTCTCGTCCAACAATACCCCAGGAAACGAGGAAGATGAGGAGGAGGAAGAAGAAATGGAAGCTCTGCGGCTACCATCTCCTGTCGGCCGCGGTGGTGCTTCGTCTGAGAGGGTGGAAACAGCACCGGCAACACAGGAGGAAATTGAAGATGATGACGATGCACTAGCGGCTGAAATGGAGGCTGCTTTCGAGGAAGAAGCGAGGAAGCAGGAGTACCAGCCTCCGTCTCTGCAGTACCACGTTCCCAGTGATGACGAGAGTGAGGTTAGTGAGGAGGAATGATACCTTTCTGTTCTATTGTCTTATTTTCCCACACATTGCATCTCGGCCCAAACTCCGAATTGTCACGATACCTTTGTCTACAGTATTCTGTTTTCTGTGTGTCAGATTTATTTGCGTGCATGGCGTCATTTTGGAGTTTTGCAGCGAGGGCACTGGACCCAGCCCAGTCGACCAGTTCACTGGAGGGTAACGATACCACGATCGAATTATAGTTGTACACAGAAATCTAACGAAATCATTTTCTCAATTAAACTCGCCAATTTCAGAAGCAGCCTGATGTGTTGCAAGATATGGATACTCCTTGTACTGTGTCAATCGGAGCCGATCTACATACCCCGGAACAACTTGATGATCCGGGCCTTTCGCATCCGCACTCCAGATTATCTTTCGGAGTGTTGCGAGACTGACACTGAGCAATCCAGACTTCACAAGCCCACAGTATACCTATCATTGAGACCCGCTTTTGATCAAATAAAAAGGGTTATTCCGGTTACTCAAGCAGAAGAGTCTCGGAGCTTCTTTCCGCACCTACCCAATCACTCGTTCGGCAAACGCCATCTGCTCGTCTTGAGGACGCTTCACAACTCACCTGGTTGCGAAAAGTCAACTCGCGATATCACGAGGCTTACCATGCGCTATGTTTGATACGAACTCATAAAACACGCAATTCTGGCATCTCCTTGCTGCGAAGGGAGGACAGACACGCAGCACCACGTGCGGTCAGCGCGCCCTGCTCAGCTGTCCTCCTCGAAGAGATAAGACTTGAACGAAGACTGTTCATAGCTCAGAGCGCTTTCCGACAAACACCGGACGGAAACATTGTATCAACTTGATTGCATCTCAGGGTGATTGACCTGCGACAAGACAATCTCCTCAATACGTCATGGCCTCGGCACCGTCGCATTCCCCGGAGAAACGGCCTCTACCTGCTGAGTCGAATCCCGTCCTCCACGCATCGCAAGCCCAATGGCTCTTCACAGATGAAGAACTCACTCGTACGCCATCCCAACTCGACGGCATGAAGATGGAAGCGGAGCATACTAGTCGCAGCAAAGGTGTCAATTTCATTACCCAGGTCGGGATCATGCTGAAGCTACCCCAGCTCACTTTGGCGACCGCAGCCGTCTACCTTCACCGGTTTTTCATGCGCTACAGCATGGTCGATATACCGCAACGACCGGGTATGCATCCCTATCCCATCGCGGCCACTGCACTATTTTTAGCTACGAAAGTCGAAGAGAATGTCCGAAGAATGAGAGAGCTCGTGGTGGCCTGCTGCCGAGTGGCGCAAAAGCAGCCGAATCTGGTGGTGGACGAGCAATCCAAGGAGTTTTGGAAATGGAGGGACACAATCCTGCACCATGAGGACTTACTCCTGGAAGCGCTCTGCTTCGACCTGCAGCTCGAACAGCCGTACCGCATCCTGTACGATTTTATCTGTTTTTTCGGCGTGAATGAAAACAAACCGCTCCGCAACGCCGCATGGGCCTTTGTCAACGACTCCATGTTTACCGTCCTCTGCCTCCAGTTCAACGCACGCACCATCGCTGCCGCCGCTCTATATGCCGCCGCGCGGCACTGCGACGTGGGATTTCCGGACGACGACCGCGGTCGAGCGTGGTGGGAGCAGATTGACGTGGATCTGACGCAGGTGCGTCGCGCCTGCATGAGAATGGCACAGCTCTACGAGAACAATGCCATGCAGAAACATAGCCAGTACTACCCGACCACCCCAATACTGTCGGACGAGGGCACTGAGAAGACCAGGATCCCGCACGCTGGCAGTCCCGCGAATCGTCCTCCAGCGGAGTCATACGTCACTCACGGACGGAAACGATCGAAAGAGCCGGAAGACAGCGGCGAACCTCGAGGAGATGGCTCAGCACCCTCCAACGGAGAGCGTTCTCCAAAACGACCACGCAGGGAATTGGATGCCGCGCCCCGTGGCAGCTCGCAGGATCAACAACAGAGCCCATCCGCTCCTTCCTCGCAAAGCCTACCAAACGCAGGAAGCCCTTCCTCCTTCTCCTCTCAGGGCCGGCCCCATCTCAACGGCCAGGTACCTCCCTCATTACCTCATCCCCCCACTCACCACCGTCACCCGCATCCCCTACCACCGGCTCCCCGTCCATTCCCACGTCGAGATAGCGATCACCATCCTCCGGGCGGCGGAAAAGTGGCAGGTCCAAGGGAAGCCGATCCAATCCAACAACGCATTGACGAAATTGTTTCACAGAACATGCCGTCACACGGTGGTCCACCAGTACCACCACCACCCGGAGCCGGAGCGCGGATCCCCAACAGACGAAACTCAGTCGATCGCCGCGGACCCGATCGGTACCGCGGCTACGATGATCCCGCGAGACGACGGCGGCCGTCCTTCGGAAGGAGGTCGCAGTCATTCGAGGAACAGCCTCCACCGCCCCCAGGACACCCTCATCATCAACCTCTACCCCCACCGCCACCACCTCCCGATATTCCTCAGCCACCACCTCCACCCCCGCCCTCACAACCGGAACAAGCCGCTCAGGAAGACGAAGGCGGGGGCAGTGAAGAAGGGGAGCTTTGATTATGGTTTCGCCGTGCACTTGAAACTCCTTGTGTTCTACGACAGCCACAATTACTAAGTTGCGGAGAACATGCATGATTTCAGACGAAGAAAAGGAGGGAGTCTCTCCAACTGCTTGACTTATAGTGACCTGCCATGACGCCGCACTACCTCATGGGTCATACAAATGATTTCTAGCGGCTTGATCAGTTGCTGCATTCATTGCATTTATGCACTACTTCCGGAGCATGCATTGGTTGGCGGGGTGGTCGACTTTATTTGGATAGTATATTATCCGAGATTCCAGCAATATAGAACGGATATTGTACGCCGTTGATAGTTGAATTGTAAAGAATCCGCTATATACGATTTCCAAGCAAGATCTCCAGTAACGCGAGTCGTAGTAGAATTGAAACAATGCCGAAAGTGAAATGCAACGATTGGACAACAGAAAAAGAGCTATCAGTAACCTTGGGTCATAACGCCAACTCCATTATTGTCAAGTAAGCTGCTGGAAGCCACAAAGCTGAATCCACCGAACGGGTCATTGTCGCAACTCATTCCATCCGGACCTGTCGGCATTGCACGCTGGCTGGGGCGTCGGCGAAGAGAGTAATAATCGTCAAAGCCGTTGCTGGTGACGACCGGACTCAGCGGCAGGGCGGTAAAGTCGGCAGAGAAGTTCTCCGCCAGAGCCGGGTCCGTGACAACAGGGAGGATAGGGGGAGCAACCTCGCGACGCTCGAGCGCCTTCCAGTCAATTCTGCGGAAGAAGCGATGGTTCTTGATGGTCTGCAGGTCCTTGGGCATGTGGTAGCCGAGTCGCTTGGAGGGTTCCTTGCGCAACAGGCGGGTGAGAAGGTCTTTGGCATCCGGACCAAGGAAGTAGGGCAGCGTGAGCTTCTGCTTGACGATTTTTTCCTGCAGCTTGGCGTTGTTGTTGGCCTTGAAGGGCGGGGAGCCGGTGAGTAGATCGTAGCCGAGTGCGCCAAGTGACCACCAGTCGCAGGCTTTGCCGTACGGTTTGCCTTGAATGACTTCGGGAGCCATGTACTCAATGGTGCCCAGGGACGAGTTGCAGCGATCGTCATCGCTGACTGCGATCTTGCTGAGGCCGAAGTCTGTCAGGAGCAGATGGCCATCGCGGTCCAGGAGACAATTCTCCGGTTTCAGGTCGCGATAGATCACACCCACGTTCTGGTGCAGATGTTCGAGAGCGAGAACCATTTCGGCCATGTAGAATGCGGCGGCATCTTCGTCGAACATGCGTTCCATGGCCAAGTGGTGGAACAGCTCACCACCCTGGGCATATTCCAGGATGAGGTACAGCTTTTCGTGATCCTGAAACGCGTAGAACAATTTCACCACAAATGGATGACGGTTCACACTTTCCAAAATCGCACGCTCAGTCTTGGTCTGCTCCACGAGTTTCTTGTGAACGGTGAGCGATGCCTTACGGAACTGCTTCTGAGCATACAACTTCCCAGTGAGCGCATGGCGTACAAGCAGTACGGTTCCGAAGGAGCCCTTGCCCAGGCAGAGTAACGGCTCAAAGTCTGCGGTTGTCATCTTGCGGCACAGCTGAGTACGGACGTCCTGCGCACCGGGGAGACTCGCCGACGTTTCTTCCGCTGCGGCATCGGAGCTGACGAAATCATGTTCCAGAGGTACTTCGTAACTAGTCAGGACCTCTGTCTGATCGCTGTCCGAGCAAACGCTTACATTGCTCGGGGTTTCAAAGCACAGGTCACTCTGCGCAGCCAGAGCGCTACCGCTGCCGGACAGGCTGAGCGAATCGAGTTGAAGCTTCAGAGCGCTCACGCCACATCCAGCAGGTTGGACCATAGGACTGTTTCCGTCGCTCTCCGCATGAGCGGGTGCTCGTGACGAAGGACGAGCCTTAGCGCTTGTGGTCGAGAAATCCGAGTCTTCGTCGCCAGAGGCAAGTGGAGTAAATCCGCGAACGGTGGAGATGGCCCGGGGAGCTTCACTTGTCTGATATTTCTTCTTCTTTTTGCGACGGTCTGGTCTGCCGGACAAGGCCTCAACGTTGAGATTGTGTGCTGGAAAGGGACTAACTTCATTGACATCCTTGGTGACCGGAACTTGCTTGCGACTGGGACTGCCACCACTCATGCAAAAGCGAGTATCAGGGTTATTGTCGAGAAGGGCATCGTTACAAGGTTGCGACATGTCCGCCTGGGGTGCAAAGACATCTCCCACGGAAAGATCATCATGCATTGGTGCATCCATGTCTTCGGCAAAGGATCCCGGTCGAGGATAGCGACGGCAAGATTTGAACAAGCAGGTCGGAAAGCGCCAACAAGCACGCTTTGTAATTCAGACCTCAATTCATCCACTCCACTTCTAACAGTAAACAGGCACTAGCCTATCGAAGAATATCTGATTGCGCAAAATGATTGTTAGCTCCCTTGTCAGACATTGCGGGGTA